AAAAAGAAAGAAAAAAGATGAGGGACTTAGTCACGGGGACAAGTGGGAGAAGAGCGTCCAGGCAGAGGAAACAGCCGGCTTGAAGCAAAGTGGCCTTGCTAGGAGCATGCCTTCCAGGTTCAAGAAAGAGTGGAAAGGCAATTCAACTGGAACGGAGTAGGGGAAGGGGAGTGCAGAAGGAAATGAGGACCAGGAAGAAGAAGGACTCATGCCAGCATCAAAGAGTCAGTGTTACACGGGAACAAGAAAGGAATACTACGACGTATATACGCTCTCCTGTTAGACTGAACACTGACTGAAACATGGACCCGTAAAGGTACAACACGAGGAAATTGATGATAAGACAAGCCTTAGAATCCCACAGCGGGGTGCTGCCTTGGTTTGGCTTTGGGTCATATGGTGTGTCCCAGGCCTAGGGACAGCACTTCCAAAGTTCTTGGTTCCCAGCTGGCCTTCTGTCTCTCTGTTCTCCGACACTGCCTCCTGTGCATTTGTATGAAGTTACCGCCATCTGTGAGATTCACAATGAAGGAAGCACCCTAGCCTCGCAAGCAGGACAATTTCTGCCAGCTTCCCTGAGGCTACTGGCCATCTAAGTCAGCCGTGCTAACAGGTGCTCTTTCACTCCCCTAAAGAATCGCTCCCGCTAGGTACCAGGGGGAGGAAAATGCCCATTTCATTTTTTAGTACTGGTGAAACTCTCAGAAAAAGGCAAGGATGAGAACATATTTTGTGGTTCCTGGTGAGGTGTGGGAATAAAATGTTCAGCTTCCCTGTAACTTACAAAATAAGAAGATTTCACTTTATGTAATTGTATCTTGAGCTTCTAGGGAGGATAAAAAGTGACACAGCTGAGCTGATCATTACTTGTTGACATTTTCACTGTCTTCTAGCAAAATGATGCTAGCAGAGTAAAATAAAATACCAGGTCACCTTCCTCCCCTTTGGGGTCTGTGTTTGAATGACTATATGTAGCTTTCCTTTTCTCCTTCAGTAATAGACACACCTGGGCTCACTCTGCAGCCCATTCCTTCCTGGCTGGGTGATCTCAGCCCACTGTCTAACCTCTCCTAGCCTCTGTCTTCTCATCTGTTAAATGGGGTTCAAAGCCTCTGCCTCAAGGGTTGCAGTCAGGGTTTCATGTGACAGTGCATGGGAAGCTGACCCTTCCTATTCACTCTCCATGTACTCTCTCTGCCTGGGAAATCATGAGCCCCTAGCATAGGCACCTCCCCCCTCCTGTCCCTCCTGGCTCAATTGGTGTACAATTGGCTCCTAAAAGGCAAACGTGGCTGCAGCTCTCAGGGAGGAGGCAGTCTCTGCCCCACTTTCCATAACTCCCCATCCATCCTGCCCCTGGTAGGGCCAGTACAGCCTGGCCCGCAACAACCCACCAGCCCCGAGAAGGCTCCATGGTGGGCAGAGTGGCTGCTCTGTGTCCCATGACTCAGCTGGGCACTTCCCTCTTCTCCACCCCAGGAGCCCAGGACGTTTCTACTCTTCCTGAATGCTTAGGGTCCTACCCTGGGGTTTTAATCACATGGATTTCATGCTGTCACCACACCATCCGAGGACCCTTTGAAACCGCCCTTTCTGATGGTTCTGCATCAGCAGGTACTTTAAAGGACTGAAGGCTGGGAAGGGTAAACAGGGTGCCTCCTGGCTGGCATATGGTATGTGAAGGAGAGTCTTAATGGCCGAGGCTGACGGTGGGCACATCAGGCACCAGGGGCAGACAGCCGGGGATGATCGAGTCCTGGGGCCCACTGCATCTCCTCAGAGAGGCGTCCTTCAACCCTGCTGCTGCTGGGCAGAAGATACAAGGCACAGGGGTGTAAAGTGGGACTCAGCTCTCCATTACTCAGCCTGGACGGGACCCTTGCTGGCACCTCCGCAGGGCAATGGGGGAGGACAACGCTGGGCACAAATGCCCTTTGGGGAAACAGCTAGCAGGAGGTGCTAGCCTGGTTTGGGGGTTTCTGCACCCCAAACGATGGACTGGGGACTCCACCCTGATTTCCCAGACCAACTCCCACATAGCCAGGAAGCGCTCAAGAGGCCGCCTCCTGCCTCCCGCGGTCCAGGCTGACTCGTTCTGCTGGCTGCGACCCCAGGGTCACATTCTAGAGGCACAGTCCCTGGTGTGTCTATCTTGGAGATGGTCTTGCCCTGGGCTGGGGTCTCGCTCGGAGAACGTGGCCAGCCCTCCAGCCTCCCTCCCTGGGACCAGATGCCATCTTGAGCTCCAGCACTTGGAGAGCCCTCCCTCAGGCCAACTGCCACTGGGTGGCTCCTGAGTCCCACATATTCCCAGCTAGTTCTGCTTCTGTCCTTCTGCTCCAGAATGGCACAGGCTCTGCTCCTCGACCTGAGCCAACTGCCAACGCAGGTTGCTGTGGCCTCCACCTGGTCCACGGCATGGAGACTGTGCTGCCCCAGGTCCTGGAGCCTCTACCCCAGCACCCGCACCCACAAAAGTGGCCAAGCCACGGCCTGCTGTCAACAGCATGGTGGGGAAAGTGTGTGCTCTGGGGGTGAACAGACCCGAGTCAAATCCCTGCTCTACTACCTGCTAACCAAGCCATTTCGAATGACCGCTGAATCTCTGAGGCTTGGCGTTACCATCTGTACACTGCGGACAGCAACCCAGGGAATCTGTGGTGACGGCTCATCGGGCTCACACATGTTTAGAAGCCTTAGGACAGGGGCACCTGGGTGGCTCCGTCAGTCGAGCTTCCGACTTTGGCTCAGGTCATGATCTCACAGTTTGTGAGTTCGAGCCCTGTGTGAGCTCTGCACTGACAATGCGGAGCCCGCTTGGGATTCTCTCTCTCCCTCTCTCTTTGCTACTCCCCTGCTCATTCTTTCCCTCTCTCAGAATCAATCAACTTAAAAAAAAAAAAAAAAAAAAAGCTTCCTGTGTGTGGAAGTGTGTCTATGCACGCATGTAACTGCATGTGTGCATGTGCGCACGTGTGGCTCTCTACAGGTGCACGTACGCAAATGCCCGCGAGGGCGTACGTAAACGCACGTCAGGGTAAGCGAACGGGTGCGTGCATATACGTGTGCACGTGTGTGTGTGGAGTATGGATACCTGTGTCCTCCAACAGAAGCCAGACGCTCCATCCCGAGCCGGTCCTCCCGCGGCTGCTTACCTCCATGTTTCTGCAGAAGGTGGCATTGGTGCCAAACAGGATCTGGCATTGCTCGTTGGCACTGTAGTGCATGCCTGGCAGCTTGTGAGGGAGACGCACCGCATGCTGGCTCCTGGGGTCTGTGACCAGCAAACAGGTGCTGACTTTCGACCTGAAAGAGCCAAGGGGCTAGTTGACTTATAAGGCTACTTCCCAGGTTTTTGTTTTGATTTGTCACTCAAGAGAAGGGGAGAAGGACGCATCTCCGAATTATGTATGGGAAGATGACCCAGGCACTGGACTCTTTTTCTACCTGGCCAAATGCAGATCTTTACTACGAAGACAATGAGGGCTTAGCAACTAGGAAAGGGCCTGGGAATAACACCCCGTGAGGCTAACGTACTTTTCTCAAGTTTGAGCTTTCTTGGGTGAAAATCTATTTCTGAAATTGATTCCCATAGTATTTTCTTCGAATACATCTTTAAGGGGTGCCTGGGTGGCTCAGTTGGTTAAGTATCCGACTCATGGTTTTGGCCTCTTGGTTTTGGCTCAGGTCATGATCTCACAGTTCGTGGGTTTGAGCTCCGCGTACGGCTCTGTGATGACAGCTGTGGTGTCTGCTTGGGATTCTCTCTCTCCCCCTCTCTCTCTACCCCTCTCCTGCTTCCTATCTTTCCATTAAATAAATAAACATTAAAACAAAAGAATATATTTTTGAGCAAAATTATCATGAATAAGGAAAAAAATAGAAGCTAGGGTCATTTTTCCTTTATTTTGAATAAAAAACAAAGTGCTTATTTCCAACTCTGCGGACTCTCTTGGAGAGCCTGTGTCAGGCCATGGCAGCTGACTGGTCTAGGTGTCCTACCTGAGCACACATTCTGCCCTCAGTAAAAACTGGCTGGAGGCACGATCTGCAAAGGAGGTCAGGATTTCCACCACGATGGAAACATTCACAGATGTTGAGAACAACTCTGAAAAACTGAATTGGGGGCTAAGAGCCTGTGGCTCCCTTAGGAGGTTAAATATTTGAATGCTTTTGTTTTTCAATTCCCAAAAGCAAGGTAGATGGTAGTAGAAAGGAAACCCAGCCTCACCCCAAGATTCTTGAAGAAGAGAGTTGCATGCAAGTATACACAGGCCGATGCTGGCCACCTCCCCCGGGCTCAGACACACACGACACTTTAAGAAAGGCGGTGGGATCAGCAATGTGTATATGAGCAAATGAAAATATCCTGCCTTGTTTCACTGACCCTTCTGGGGAAAATGAAACAATGTCAAGAGGCTTACAACAACATTTCATGGAGATTCTGTGATAACAAGTACTCAGGAAGAAATAGACGCTATTAAAACTAATGAATCCGTTTTTAAGCCTTGTGTAGCACATAATTTTTCCACCCACAGGAAATATCATGAAAGAAGACCCAGGATAGGGACAGAAGGCAGAGTGATGCCCGGCTTCTGCATCCCGAATTCACGGGGGTACTTTAATGTGTTACTGAACTGTAAAGCTCCGTATGCAGGTAAGACTCAGTTCCTTCCATCTCCATGTGGTGGACGGATGAATACAACTAAGTACGGAAGTGATCGGGGTCTACCCGTCAATCTGTAAGTTTATCCCTGAGGTCTTGACACTAAGGGATCCTTATGGTACCTGAGCAAAGACTTTGTTTGACGAAGGTCTGAAATCAGACGGCCAGCTCTTCTGTAGCAATCTACAAGTGGAATGATGCAGATATATTCTGGAAAGAAGGTGGCAGCAAGATAAACACAGCCCATACTTACATGTGAGGGGGGAGGTGAGCAAGCCCCGCTCCCCAGCAAGTGTGCCCCCTATCAAGGGAAGCAGGCTGAGCATTAAGGAAGTGACTTTTTCTATAGCAGCCAAGGACACTGCTATGGTGGTGTCCACTCAGAGTCAAAGTACTGCAGAGAAACGAAATGGGGTTCTTTTCAAGTCCTGGTCACTGTGCTGATATTCTGTCAATCAATAATGCATTTACGAGTAGCAGCTGGGTGCCCAGCATCCTAGCAGATGCACACGTGGGAGGAAGTTTTGGCCAGATATAGGAGACTCTGCACTGACCACCTCTTTAGGCCAGATCAGAGTTCTAAGTGATTCATTTCTCTTTCCCACACTTGCTAAGACCTCAATTATTATTATGTCTTCTGGAAGCACTTGTTTAGAAACATTTTTTTATATTTTTTATTACTTTTTTTTTTTGAGAGTGGGGGTGGAGCCTGATGCGGGGCTCTCAACTGTGAGACCATTTTCACAACCGTGAAATCAAGAGTCGGACGCTTAACCGACTGAGCCACCCACGCGTCCCAGAAATATTTTCTATTATAGTGCTTGTACGGAATGATTCAAGGACTTACTTGAGGAAGTTTTCCAGGTCATCTCGGCTGCAGGATGACCAAGAGAGGTCACTGGGGTTCCGGCCTTTTACCCACTCTCCTGACATGATGTGGGATCTGCCAGCGCAGGATGAGTGGTCATCATCATGGTTCATTCCCAAGCTGCCCGAGGGAAAGGAAAAGGAGAGACGGACGCTTATGCTATAGGCTTTCATCTGCAGTTCCAGGTTCCAGCATACTATGCTAACTTAAATCAGGTCTGAAACACAAAGAGTGACACAGGCTGATACCCAGTACGCTATTCTCAACAAAGCAGACCAGCAACCACGAGCTTATAGAGACATTGAGCGATGACTTCCTTACTTAATGAATGAAGACAGAGCAGACACAAGGAGCATTTGCTAAGTAAATGAATAAATGAAAAATTACATTAATGCTGTGATATTATCGTTCTTACACTGTAAACTTCTGATGGTTACGCTTATTTGTAACACTAAAATAGACCAATGTTAATGATCTAAGTGTATTGTTGCCCTATGGAGAAGTCATTATGGGAAGGTCTAATGGGAACCACCCATGACTTTGACTTATATAATAATATCATAGGTATAAACCTTCAAATCAGTGGAAAATGTAGCTTTTCTGTCTTTCACATCATTAAACCTGGGTCCACCAACATCATACCTGTGGCCTCCATGCCCAGTTGTACTTAATAGACACCAGGATGCCTGTCTAGATGTATGTGGCTGACCGCACACTAGAAGCTGAACAAGGATCTTAGTTTGCTCACATGCTGTCACTGGGGTAACCTGAGGCACAGAACATACAAGATCAGATGGCCCAGACTTTGCTGACCTGTGATATCCAGGGCAGAGATTCACTGTGCAGAAGGACGCCCGTCCTTTGCCAACAAGCCCAATGGAGAAAACATGTACTTCCTTTCATTCAAAAATATTTATCAGAGGTTTCCCAAGTGCCAGCTAATGGACTACAAAGACACAACGGTGCACAAAATGCCATCCCTGACTCCAGATCACTGCCTGCCTGGGCAAGGAGACAACACAAACAGAGATAATTATAAAAAGAGGCTCTAAAGGCTTCTCTGGAGCCTCATTTTCCAGTTTCCATCATACATCTCTGACCATCTTCCATCAATGCCCCCTGCTTGCTGCTTAATCCTGGGGTCTGTCGACAGAGGCCTGCCTGTATTCTTACTCTGCACACCCTCCAAGCCACTCTCATACTCTTGCCAATGGAGACACTCCCTTCACCAATACCATAGGGAGCTGGATTAGCCAAAGCTATCCTAGTCCTTGGAAAACACACCACCTGGCACTCGTGCTCCTGAATCTTCAGACTGGCAGGGGAGTCTCTGATCACCCACATATCTGCTCCTGTGAGTTAAGGGAATGCTTATCAAGACTTAACTGAATTTATTCTTAAGCCTATTTATGTCAGTAATACTTGCTATTTCAATTAATACATGAAACACAAGAACAAGAGTAGTTGTTTTCATGAAAACTAACTTAGCTCGCTAAAAATAGCCCACTGCCAAATTGGATGTGGGCAAGACAAGTGTAAGAGATGAGAGGAAAAAATATCATAAAAATCTGGTCCAGACTGCTTCACAAGGATCTTTTGTGTTCTACCCAATCTAAAAAAGAAAAAGAAACTGGAATTTGAACTCATTTCATTATAACTCGTGGTTTGTGTGAAGAAGGTGACATGCGAGGGCAATCAGCAGACACATACCCTCTAAGAAAAAGCGTTCACCGCCACTGCAATATTGGTGAAAAAAATTAACATTTTCATGGCTTAAGCTTAAACCAAATGTTTAAGGCACCTAAGTATAATTTCTTTACGTTTCTCCACTTGAACCTTTTTTTTGGTGGGGGGTGTCAATTGGTCAATTGACCAACTACTACCCTGTCAGAAGAAAGCTTATCTGTGGTGCCATGGACCCATGTGTTGGTGGCCATGTTTTCCCGTGGTCCAGACCGCTCTCCTAGACATCACCCTCTCCCTCTGCATTTCCCAAAAGGCGCTTCCAACTCCCCAGGGCAGTTTTCTATCCCTGGTGGAGTCTCTACCAGTGACTGGCACAGAGTGAGCACTCTGTGAATATTTATTGAATAAACTAGCTATTTAATAATGGAGAAAGCACCACAAAAAACATGAATCCATGTCCATTACGAGGGCACTAAGTCTAGTACCATGGCGTCTTGCTCAACAGAATGATGAAAGCCTTCTCTGGCTAGATTCAGTCTTGCCCTCTTGCCAAGAAACCAGGTATCTGTCCAATTCAAGTTAAATGAAGAGCCAAGAAATTGTCAGATAAATCTGACCAATAGGAGTAATTTAGATACATTTCTATTGGTTACTTCACTGAATAAAATGAGTCCTATTTTTTAGCACCATTGTTCAGCTTTTTAGTTTTTTTCCCTGCTTGTTATCTATCTACGCCAATAAGTATCTACAGCTATCCATCTGTCTATCTGCCTATCATCTCTTTGTTTTGTGTTAACTTTTTTTTTTAACGTTTATTTATTTTTGAGACAGAGAGAGACAGAGCATGAACAGGGGAGGAGCAGAGAGAGAGGCAGACACAGAATCTGAAACAGGCTCCAAGCTCTGAGCGGTCAGCACAGAGCCTGATGCAGGGCTTGAACTCATGGACCGTGAGACCATGACCTGAGCTGAAGTCCGACGCTTAACCGACCAAGCCACCCAGGGGTCCCTGTTTTGTGTTAACTTTTGAAGGAAGTGGCTGTTTTTTCAAGTGCCTTTAGCAAAGGATGCTAAAAGGCATCTTAAATTTGTCTTAGTGTTTTATCTGATATCTTTAAATGAAACTAGAGATAGGGTTTTCGAAATAAACAGATCTTCTGAAAATTTTGATGGATTTCGGTGAACTCTGCTAAATGTGTACAGGTTCCAGAAAGAAAATGTCTCAGGAAAACAGTGGCTCCGTTCTATCTTCAATGACAAGGTGTAAGCACGGCGCACAGACCAGGTGCAACTGGTCTGCTGTCACCCTTGGGGAATATAGTCCTACAGAGAACCAACCTGTGAGTCAGTTTTTCTTCTAGCTTTGCACTTTTATAAGCCGGTTTCCATCATCCTGGGCTGGGATCCCCTGAGTGGCCACCAGATGGGTTTTTTCAAACAACAAGGATGTTGTTTGGGAAACCACAACGGGAGGAGATCCAAGTCCTGGCAGAATGGCCTCACCACCTATGGAGGAATGTTTCATCTGTGACCACTTCTAAGTTTTCTCTCGTGGTCAAGTTGGTCGTAAAATGAAAGAGGTTCCTTTGCTCACACTGCCAGACTCTGCTGGCCAGAGGGCCTCGTCTCTCAGGAGACAAAACTATGTTTAAAACAGTGCTCAGAAAAGCTGACTATGCCGTCGATAACCATATGCCTACACAGTGTGCTATGTTGGTGTTTCACTACGCCGGCCCCAGAGAAGGACTTCCCCAAGGAATGTTCCAGTCAGCAAGATCAGCCAAGAGTGGGATTCTTGGATTTCTGGAGCCTGTTTCTAACACAGATCATGCTTGATCTAGTTTAAAATGTTCAAATGCTAACTAAGTGCCTCATAAATTTACAGTTTGATGAACTAGCATTGGGCTGGGAGTCCTGATATTTGAGGTTTACATAAACTACTGTTTAGGCTATTTTTAGATTAAATTCAGGATTACTTGACTGAGAAATGTATGTTGTTTTAGGTTTATGTCCCAGGGCATCTATTACTTCTGGCAACATTATATTTAACAAGAAGGAGTAGCATTAAGCGAACACAGTAATTCTGACTCTAAGTAACAGTGGGGTTAAGGACACGGACATGCCTCATGTCACATGTGACTGAGATTTATCAGACACATTCACAACTTAATGGCCTTGAGTTGATTTTATCTTAAAACAAGTAACACATTGCTTCTGTATTAGCTTTAGGAAATCCAATATGTACCATGCAGGGAGTTCTAAGAGAATCCCTACAATGTTTCACCCCTCCTAGCTTCACCCCAAATCCTGAAAACCATGGAGACGGCTGTGTGTTTTAGGTTTGGTATATCTGCCATCTTGAAAGTGTTGGTTTTACCTGGCTCTGAGTCTGTTTCTCAGAAGCTTTGGGATTTTGACAACAGGTATACAATGAGGTCCCACCTCCCCTCCAAACAGGGAACCTGGGGAAATGGCTCCCGTGACGTAGCCTCCACACTGAAGGGGCTGCTGGCCAACCCAGGCCAACCCTATTAGCCCTGTGGGCATACTGACAGTCCATTTTCAGTAAGTGCTCACGGATGCTGCAGTAATAGGGATGGCTCATGGCAGTTTCTAGAAAATAGTAGTTAGATTTGTATTAATTCATATTACTTAACAGTAACAACTAGGGGCGCCTGGGTGGCGCAGTCGGTTGAGCGTCCGACTTCAGCCAGGTCACGATCTCGCGGTCCGTGAGTTCGAGCCCCGCGTCGGGCTCTGGGCTGATGGCTCAGAGCCTGGAGCCTGTTTCTGATTCTGTGTCTCCCTCTCTCTCTGCCCCTCCCCCGTTCATGCTCTGTCTCTCTCTGTCCCCAAAATAAATAAACGTTGAAAAAAAAAATTAAAAAAAAAAAAAAAAAACAGTAACAACACATCAGCTTTATACTGGAAGGAAAATTCTCGACTGTCAATACTTCTTTGACAAGAACCACACTGTGCCCTCAATCTTCAGCTACTCAGAAACGTCACTTGCAAGTATTAAAAGTCACTAGGGGTAACAGGTCACACTCATTTATGCAGCTTAAATTGTCACGATCATCAATAACCCGATTCAGAGGGAACAAAACAAGTAGGCAACAATAACATCAAAATCCTCTCCTCGCCGGAGGAGTTTTTGTTTGTTTCTGTTTTTGTCCAAGGAAATGAGCCTATCAGCCTTCAGGGATTCAGTAGCAATGCAACCAGTAGAGTAGATCTGGGGTCTCTACAGACTCAGCTTTGCCTCCTACACACACAGGATCATCACAGTAAGAATGATCCTAAGTCACCATGAAGTTTGGATCACCAGTGGGTAAATAATGATCAGCACAGCGTTGGTGTTAAGTGTGCTTTGCTGTAGTGGATTATATCGCAACAGCTGACAATGGTTAAGACACATGCAGTATACACCGTCT